CGCAACGCCTTCCGTTCGAAAACACCACGAGCATAGTCCCGATCTCTTGGCCGTAGAGGACCACCGGTCTAATCGGTGTCTTGTAGATAGTCAACTTCGAGCGGCGGCGAATTTTATTCGACCGGAGCGTCCTCCGGAGTCCAAAGTAGGCACGATTCCCTGCCAAAGTGCGTCTTTGAATTTCTCTGCTGGTAGCATTTTCGGCGGTCACCAGTGAGCCCTAAGACACGAAATCGTTGACCACCTCGGTTTCGTCACCGTCAATCTGAACTCGGGATGGGAGGCTAACATTGCCTTCTCTAGAACCTCTGAAAGTTCCGGACGAAGTGAACCTTGGTCCTATGCCTCTTTCAGGACTTCCCCAAGAGTGGCGAAATAGGTGGAGGTGCCATACCCTTGCCTGAAGGCGTGCTGCCGATTACAGATGGCCGATGTTGTTGCTTGTTTTTTCTGTCGGTCCAAGTTCCATTCCCGTTGGCGACGATCTAAAAACAGCATTTGTAATCTTCATCCAATGCTTCCCAGTTTTCAGTGTAGCGCCAAATCCTTCCGACAAAAACTTGTTTTTGTTCATTGGTGGAGCAATTTGTAACACTAACACATTGATCACGACTGCAGCCAAATTTTTGCATGCGTTGCAGTGACCGCCACCTTAAAAGCAAATAACAGTTGAGTCGGTTACTTTTTTAAAAAAATACAGATCTCTCGGTAATTTTCGATTAACATATCGTTCTCACTATTACAGTTCTCCGGTAAAGTCGACTATAAATCAAGTAATGCACATCGGTAAACGTTACCAGCTAATTTTGCTGATCCAGTTTACAGATTTTTCGGTAATATTCTCGATTACCGAAAAAATTACCGACCGTTCAGCTGTTGATAATTCAATTCGGTAAATTAATTACCGAAGTAGGTGATTTTTTCTAGTGTGTATGTTCAAAATTTTGCTTGATTAGAGATTTTCAAATTCCCTGAGAATTCCGGTTTTTGCAAGATAAAATAAAATTTCCTGAAGATTCTAGCTTCGGCAGTCTTTTTAGGTAGTAGGCACCCTGAATACATTAGAAATTTCCAAAGGAAAGCTTAAACGCATTGCACGGAAATCATACAAGAATAATATGGCACTTAGTTCGAGATTTCTTTCCAATCTGATCTCATGGCAACTGCTGAACAAATTCCATAGGCATTAGACTGATGCAAAATTTGAAATTTTCGCTCCACAGTGTTAAACGGTTTCAAATCGGGTCCTGATTAGCCTCCGAAAGTTTAAACTCATTTGATAAGAAACTGACTTGGCACAAACCATTTGAAGTTTATATGGAAATTACTATAGGAAAACAAAACTTTTTGTTTATTGTCTTCTAACCTTTTTACATATTGTACTGTTAACAAATTCTATTACTATTCTTATGGGAATATTTATCAGCTACAACTTTGCAGAAAATCGTTTTTTCAGCGAAACGTCAAATTAAAAAGTTATTAATTGTTTAAAAGATTGATAATCTTATGGCAAGATTAAGCAACTGTATTGTGGGCAACACTGTATTCTGCAGTGTGACATAAAGGGTGATACGGTCAAAATTTGGTCAAGGGAAAACGCGTGTAAATCGGTGAAATCGTTTATTTAAAAAATCAAATTAAATTTCTTTTTCAAGTTCAATTAGTATAAAATTCAGGAAAAATATTCAGTTAGGCTTCCGCTTTTCCAAATCCGAATTGCCGGGCCTTACGCTTGACCCCTGCCATCAGATTTTGTACAGCCACCTTGTCCACCTTCTTCGCCGCAGAAAGCCAGTTTGCCTTGAACTGCTGCTCGCCCTTAGCAGTTTTTTTTTTGGTCTTCTTTAGGTTCCGCTTAACAATAGCCCAGTATTTCTCAATTGGGCGGAGCTCTGGCGTGTTGGGAGGGTTCTTGTCCTTGGGAACCACCTGCACGTTGTTGGCGGCGTACCACTCCATGGCCTTTTTACCGTAATGGCAAGATGCCAAATCCGGCCAAAACAGTACGGAACAACCGTATTTCTTCAGGAAAGGCAGCAGACGTTTATTCAAACACTCTTTCACGTAAATTTCTTGGTTGACAGTCCCGGAAGCTATGAAAATGCTGCTTTTCAAGCCACAGGTACAGATGGCTTGCCAAACCAGATATTTCTTTGCGAACTTTGACAGTTTCATGTGCTTGAAAACATCTGCTACCTTTCCCCTTCCTTTTGCCGTATAAAACTCCTGTCCCGGAAGCTGCTTGTAGTCGGCTTTGACGTAGGTTTCGTCGTCCATTACCACGCAGTCAAACTTCGTCAGCATCGTCGTGTACAGCCTCCGGGATCGCGCTTTGGCCGTCGTATTTTGTTTATCATCGCGATTTGGAGTCACTACCTTCTTGTAAGTCGATAGTCCGGCTCGTTTTTTGGCTCGATGCACGGTTGTAGACGATACACCCAGCTTATTTGCGGCATCTCGGAGAGAGAGGTTGGGGTTTCGCTTGAAACTGCCGGCAACTCTCTTTGTCGTCTCAGCGGCTTCCGGTTTTCGATTTCCCCCCGATCCAGACTTCCTGGCTGTCGACAAACGTTCCCCAAACACTTTAATTACATTTGTAACGGTTGATTTGGCAACTTTTAGCGATTTTGCCAATTTTGCGTGCGAGTAGCTCGGATTTTCGCGATGCGCGAGCAAAATTTTGATACGCTGCTCTTCTTGCTTGGACGGCATTTTGATAACTGAAGAGTGAATTCCAAAATCAAAATAGGAGCAACATTCTACACACACACACCTTCAAAATGAGGGGTGTTCAGGTTTTTTAAATGCAAAATTGAAAGAAATACGTCAAGTTGATATTGACCAAATTTTGACCGTATCACCCTTTAGTAGCCGTGATTTTTGACCTCTATTCTATGCGCCATAAACACCAATGTTGCCTGCTGAACAGTTGATTGAGCATAATTATAAGACATCAGTAGCTTGATTCATTAATAATGTTTGTTCCTTACATTTGATCGAAAAATGGATTTTCAACAAGTGCAGTTATCATTTTCTAAATTAGAGTGAACTGGTGAATTTTGAGATGGATATGAACCGAAATTATGGTTTCTCCATAGTAATTCCCATATAAACTTCAAATGGTTTGTGCCAAGTCAGTTTCTCACTAAATGAGTTCAAATTTTGGGAGGATAATCAAGGCCCAATTTGGAACCGTTTGGGCACACCGTGGGGCGAAAATTTCAAATTTTGCATCAGTCTAATAGGCATCCATAGGAAAGTTGTGGATCATTATTCAAACGTTCTCGGTAACCACGGAGAATGTATACATAATTTCCTGGTAGGTAATTAATATATTAACGAACAAACTGAATCTACTGGAAATGGTAAAAATATCTCAGGATCTTAACAGAAATTAGATAGCAATACGATCAACCCACTTTGTAAAATAATACGGCATTAAATTTCAACAGCGCTATGGGCACGTATTACAAGTTCCCAAGAAACAGCGACAAACCAATGGTAGTAGTCAATATTGTACGCAGCTCACGAAATGCTAATGATCACGGCAAACAAACAGAAAGATAAAAACAACGAAAAACGAGACAGACCTACTGAACGTCACACATAGACGGTAGGAATGTTTATGCATCAATTTTTGGGAGCTCCACCGGAGTTGGTGATTGGGAAAACTATGCTGCAAACAACAAGACCCAATCAGCAGTAGCATGCAGTAGATACATTTCTCTGGAATTCATTACGCGGAAATTTTCCCGCTACTATAAAATTAATTCGTGTGACTAGATCCAAACAAAGAATGCACCCTGATGAAGCCCGATAACCACCTTGACCAAACAAGATTGTGAAATAGAGCATTTGCCTCTTGGCTAATCAAGCATAAAAAAAACACAGAGACGTTCAACGATAGCAGTAATATAGATGTTTGTTATCTGTCAGTACGTGAGATTTGATGAGCCAGATTTGCGGCTCAAGAGTTAGGGCTGCCTTTGACTTTGGCGTATTTCTAGTTGATGGTATACAACACTGCGCTAAACTGAGGACAAAGACTTCACGAGTCATCTCTTCCAGGCTGACGTTATATGGTTAGGTTGTGATGATACCGACAGAAGGCTACGTGATACTATCGATAACAATCAGTAAGGACAAGTCACCTGTTTGTTGGAGCTGGTCAATCTCATTCGATGTGGAGATTACTGGTATCTTAGAAAGAGGAATTTGCTGTTGTTGCCATGGCATTTAGGAAGTTTTGTTAATTGGTTTTAATTACTTAAAATTCTATTTCTCTCACGCTCTGAATGGGCTAATTCCACGCGGTCTCTCGTCCCTTCAATCAATCAATGCTCTCGCTAATCGTATTATCATATTTCCTGTGAAAAAAGCTCTCTTCTATAAAAAAAAAATATATAACATATACCCATGAATGAAAATCCACCTGAAGTGTTATCGTCGATGTACGGGTGAAGCGACACAAATATGATACACCAGAAACACTTCTTATCTTATCACAGTCTTGCTCACGTTGTGTAGCACTATAATAGTCTGGAAACAAAAAAGAAGGCTATTCATCGACCACACTAACACAGCTACTTTACTTTCCAACATTCTTATCCGGAAACTTGATTCAGCAAATATTAGTCCACACATTGTAATTGAGACGGAGCCTTGCTAAACGATCGCAAGTACTCGTAACGTCAACAGTAGTGAAAGAAGCATCACTTGAGCTCGATTGAATTCCTAAGACTTCCGGAGGTGAATATGAACACATAAAAATCCCGGTGACATTGGTATTCCAAGCGCGTCGTTGATGAGCAATAAAAGTTTAATTTCAAACGATCCGTACTGCCCAATAAGTCGATTCTGCGTACGCATGATTTGTGGGGCCACTTCAGTCGGTATTGAACTCTACCAATTTAATTATTTGGCGCCGTCAAACGCGCAATACTGGTTGCATATTAAAATACCGTTTCCATAATATCCTCTGTTGTCTCTATTCTTTCCAGAACCGCACAAGCGATGAGCTACCAGTGCATACTGGTGCTCACGCTGTCGCTCCTGGCGACGAGCGTGAGTTTAGCGAATCCTGCCGCCGAGAAGGCCACTGCCAGCAGCAGTGCCTTGCCAAAGGCTCAGGATCCTATGTTCAACAAAATGCTCGCCGAGAAATCGGACATTCCGATGGCGCATGATCCCCGATTCAACAAGATGTACCCAGAGGTTGACTCCACGGAAAACCAAATCGATGACGAAGACAAGGACGCACTGCTGCCCAAGAAGCCTGCTTCCGATCTGAACCCTAAGTACTCCCAGCATGCGGCCGTTCTGAAGAAGCTCGAGAAGGAACAACAGCAGAAGCAACCGAAGGCGGAGTCTACCACCGTAGGTAAGTTCAGGTGACAACTCCCTAGTTATAACACTCAAACTACATAGAGACTGTCTTTCAGGAATTGTCCCCATCGACAACGCCGAGGAGAAGGATAGCTTCGACGACGATGATAGCTACGAAGATGAAGATCTTCTTCCTAACGAAGACATCAAGAATATCGTAAGTATCCCTAGCAATATTCACTTAATCGGTTTAAAACTGCTCATGTCAACTCTGGTATCCAAAGGACGAAGAAATTCTTCTACCACAAATCGAGGATCTCTCAGACCTCCCGCCCGCTCAACCCTATAAGGTTGAGTCCAAGGAAGTCGATGTCATTGAAGCAGTAAGTTTACTGTAACTTGGTCGATGTTGATCTATTTGTATTGCGTCCTTTCATCCTTCGTTGTTGATTACATTCCTCATTGCTGCTTTTCACGCACTCGCCTTCGAACATAGTTCTTAAGATCTAATTTACGTTGTACCACCAATAGAAAGAGGTCGTCACATCCCAAAAACCGACCACTAGCTCTACCACCGCTACTGCCCCGGTCTCAGTCAGCTCGACTGCTGCGCCCGATGAGGAGTACTATAATGACAATGATGAGGATAGCAGCGAGGAACTAGAGAACGAAAAGATCGATCCCCTAGCAATTCAAAAACTGCTCGCAAAGAATGCTGTAAGTCAGTCACTGCTTCCCATCCTTCGTTCTACACCCACATTCTACACTTCACCGAGACACTCCACCACAGAACATACCATAAACCCGCCCAAGCAAACTTAACCTTAATCTCTTACACTCAATTCCGCCCTTTCCCGCCAGCAGAAGTCTACCGAAGCCGCTCCAAAAACATCTACCATCACCGGTAAGCCGAAGCCAACCGGCAAAGCAAAGAGTTCGTCGACCACGGCCAAGTCTACGACTGGCGAAAACGAGATCCTGGATGAAATCGACGAGGACGACGAAGACTACATGTACAAGGACGAGTACGACGATGAAGATACCGGAGACGACAAGATCGATTTCGACGCCGTCAACAAGCTGCTGAGCCAAAAGAAGCAAAAGCAAAAGGAATCGACCACAGCCACCGGCAAGAAAAACGACAGCAAGAGTGCTGTAAGTCAGGTTCCGCTAACTACGTGTGTTCTCGGGGTCAAAATTTGGAACAAATTCTGGGTTCTGTTACTAATTATCGCTTCCTTTCTCTGTCGCAATATAATCCAACGTGTTCTCAATGCTTATAAATCATCAATCTGTGTTCATACAAAAACTCTAACGATATCATCATTTCATTTTCAGAGCCAAAACTACGCCGAGTACTACGACGAGGAAGACGACGACGATGACGATGACTACAACCTGGAGGAGCAAGTCCACCTGTGCCCACGAGATTGCATCTGTGAGCGTAACATGCACGCCTACCTGGTCGCGACCTGCAGCCGGCTGGACCTGGATACGCAAAAGTTCTCGCCATCAATCACCGATCTTCAAGTTCTTGATGTCGGTCCAAAATATCCGATCGTATTGAGTCCAGAGTTCTTCAAACAAATTGACCTGTCCCACGTAGTCTCGATCAAGATCAGCAACTGCACGATCGAGTACATCAGCCCGACTGCTTTCGCCGGTCTGGACGATCTGTACTCCGTCAATCTCACCAACTCAGGAATCGATATGCTCCATCCGGATACCTTTGCCAACAACACCAAGCTACGTCTGCTCACCCTATCCGGAAACGATCTAAGTCCCATGCAAAGCGTCAACTACAACACTCCGTACACGGAGTACATGCTGAAGGCTCCCTCTATCGAAGAGCTGGATATTTCCAAATGCAACCTGCAGGATCTACTGCCAACGGCATTCAATGAGCTGAAAAACATCATCTACATCAACCTGGCTGACAACAAGTTGCGAACCCTTCCGGAGGGCATCTTCGACAAGGTGGAAACGATCGAAGAACTGGACCTGTCGATGAACAACATCGCCGAACTGCCGAAGAACATCTTCAACAAGACGTCCCTGGCTATCCTACATCTGAAGTACAACCTGATCAGCAGCAACCTAGACTTTGTAACGACCGATCTGCAGAAGCTTGACCTAAGCTACTGCCAGATCCGCACCATCAACGGTCAGATGTTCAAGGGAATGGAAGGACTTACCAATCTGATCCTGAAGGGCAACCGCATCAAGAAGATCAATCAGATTGCTTTCACCTCATTGAAGAGCCTCCGCCAAATCGATCTGTCGCAGAACAATTTGGAACAGATTTCGTCTCTGACCTTCATCGGTAACAAAGACCTGGATATCATCAAATTGAATGACAATCCCCGTCTGAAGCAGCTTCCGGCTGAAGGATTCCAGAGCTCCTATGGAACATTCAATGCATACTTCCTGGACGTGTCCAACTGTGACATCTCCGAATTGGCCGACAATACCTTCAAGACGATGCCACAGCTGACCAGGTTGAATCTGGCCTGGAACAACTTGCAAACCGTTGGCGCAGCGGTGCTGAGCCCATTGGACAAGCTGATGGAACTGGACCTGAGCAATAACCTGATTACGGAACTGAGCGATGAGACCTTCCTGCAAAACAGGAATCTAAATAAGGTAAGCTATTCATACCGTCGTAGAATAAATGGAACGAGAATTCAAACATTGATATCCTTCTAGCTCAATCTGTCCGGAAACCAGATTTCCCGCCTGTCAGCGAAATTGTTCCTGCCACTGCAATACCTAAACCACCTGGATGTTAGTGACTGCGACCTGCGAACCATCTGGGAGTCATCCGCTCCGAACGTCAAGAGTGCCAAGGTTCTTCCCAACCTGAAGCTGCTGAACGCTTCCTACAACGAAATTTCCATCGTGTACGTTTCGGACCTGGAATCGATGGCCAGTCTTCGGGTACTGGACATAAAGAACAATTCGCTCAAGTGCAATCCGTACTTCAAAACGTTGATCAAATGGCTCGGAGTCAAGAAGGTATCTCTGGGAGACGCCAGCAAGGAACAGCGAACTCACGCCGAGTTGAATGCCTACATTACGGACAATTCTGCTCCACTGATCGAATGGAGCCAGTTTGCTCAGGAGATTTGTCAGACCGGTAAGAATGGTGCGGATTCGCCAGTACTAATCAAAGATACCGAGCAGGACGACGACGATGATGACGATGTCGCGGAAGATGAAACGGAAGATGATGATGAGTACTCGGACGAACAGATCACTGATGTGATCGATAGCCGAGACAACGCAAACGAGCTGTACGATGATGCCCTAGAGGATGATGACGAAGAAGACGAAATCATCGAAGCTGCCAACGGGGTGCAGAACTTTGGACAAGCTATCCTGACTGGTAATGGCAAATCCGAAGATCCATTAGAGGAGGAAGTACTCATTCTTGACGGCAACACTCTGCTGCAAATCAGTGGTCTTTGGCTGCCGATCTTCTGCATCGCCCTGGGCATTGTAGTGATTTGCCTCGCCGTCAATAGGATCTTCGCGATCATGATGAGGAAACGAGGCGAACGCTACCGCCAGGCGCTGCTGGCTTCCAAGAACTCGATCGTCTACCAGAAACTGACGGAAGACATTACGGCGCCCAAAACACCCAAGGTGCACCGGTACGCTCCGATTCAGCAGGTCTAACGTTGAGACCTTGTCCTTCTCCTTCGTAGAACTACTTAACATCAAACAGCCACGCAAGCTTCCGAGCGGTCGTTCCCCGGCGGAGGACCTTCTTCCAAGCGCTGCAAGAAAAGATTTCCAGTCCTTCCAAACTACAACAGTCAGCTATTTACGATTTTTTTTTGTAACAAATTATATTAGTAGTAAGGTATCAGAGTACTTATAGCGAGAGGATAAAGTGAGCAAACATAAGCAGCAGTAATTGTATTTATTAAGTTTTTTCTTTTCACTTAAAACGCAAAAAATAGTAGATGTGCACTGATATCTTTTAACAGGACAAAACCCCCAACAAACAGACAATTAACGGTCACCGATTAGAATCTTGGAAGACGTATAAAGTGTGCTTTTTTTTGTTGAACATTCCGTTGTATACCAATTTACTGAGAATATTTTCCCTGATGTTTCACGTTACTCTTCATGTTTCCTCCTATTTACCCTCACAAGAAGAAGCAATTCCGCTCCAATTTTCGTTCCGGACTATATATACATATTTATACACATAGGCATATCGAACCACCAAAACGAAAATTTATAGAAGCTCACACCATCGGTGAGCAGATCAAAGGATGAAGATTATAGTAATAATGATATAGACAAAAGTATTAATACTTCCACCATGTGCCATTGGATAAAGAAACACAACTCAGCAAACACCACACACATACAGAGATAACAATGGAAGAATTGAATAAAGAAATTTGGATTTCCCTAACCCTGCGGTCTTGTTTGGCTTGACGGAGAAGTATAAAAAATACAGAAAACATGGCCAAATGTATTGCAAAGAAACCTATTGGTGAGAGCCTGGAGCATAGTCTGTCTGGAAACAAAAACGAAAACTTGAGTGTATTATTTTTTTCTCTTTAAATTATTGTGGAACCATTTTACAACTGATAACAATTTGTCGTTTGTTTTGATAAAATAAAGCGGTTTTATCAAACTCACAGGCATGACTCATTTTGTTGATTGATTTACATTAAAAGAAAATCCATGCTTTCTGTGTGTTATCAGAAGCCGCACAGTATAGTAAAGCCTTTGTTTCTGGCGCGCAGAATAGAGAACAATAATCAAGGCTTCAATGTCAGATTGCTGAATAAAGTATTGCCAACAAAACAGCTGCTTGATCATGCCATAAGATTACCAATCTCTTAAACAATTAATAATTATTCAATTTATTTTTAGTGTTTATATGCTGAAACACTATCTTACGCAAAGTTATAGTCGAGAAAATTTCCCGTTAGAATAGCTATAGAAGTTTTTAACAGTGCAATATGGAAAAGGCTAGAAGACAATGAACAACAAACCTGGTTTTACTATAGTAATTTCCATATAAACTTCAAATGGTTTGCACCCAGTCAGTTTCTTACCAAATGAGTTCAACTTTTGGAAGGCTAATCAGGATCCAATTTTCCAACCGTTTGAGCAATGTAGAGCGAAAATTTCAAATGTTGCATCAGTCTAGTGTACATAGGTATACGATTGTTCTTGCATTTATACGTCTGCGCTCCTGAAAATCTGCACTAGAGAAGATTATAGGCTGTAAACTCGTTCAATTTGTTCTTCCTCGCAAAATATCAACCTGCCCGAACAACTGTGAGCGCCGTTTGAATCCCTCCTCAGGATTCATAATGGAAATACCGAGGGAAATACAGTGAGCAAATACAGGCTAAATAGCGTAAAGTCTAAGATCTAAAAAAACCAACATCTTTAAATTTCGAATTCCAAGTTTCAAGTTCATGATCTTGAACATTTTCAAAGCACTAGAATCTTAAAAACATACCGAAGCTCGGCATTACGAATACTTCTGTTAATTTTGGAATTTGAAAACTTCTCATGGTTCAGAATCTCGGAAATTTCTCCATGTTCAAAATATTTTAAAATAAATCTACCAGAGTTTTGAAGTTTTTCTTAATCCAAGATCATAAACATTCTGAACATGAAATCTCAAAATTTATCAAATTATTACACTTTTCCAAATCCTGGATCTTGTTTATTTTATGTCGAATATAAAATTCTTTGATGGAATCATCCTGAAATCCTTGGAAATCTATGCAGGATTTCTTCAGAATTTTCTAAAGAATTTGCTTGAAACATCTAAATATACCCTCAGAGTTCATCTTAGACCTCTTTGTGGTATTTATTTATATGTATCTTATAATTTGTTCCATTTTTTTTCGGGACCTTACACTACTGCGACCAGTAAATTGATCTATTGTAGTATATCCCGTGTCCTTAGTTTAGTGCATGTCGTATTACTCCATCACTATTGAGAAATGATGAAGTATTATTTGATTTTTTTTACAGTTGCCACTCTTGCATTTATCGCAAGGATCCGACTCTAATTGAAAGGTCCCGCTATTTATACCCTTCGGAGTGTTGAAACACCCTCCAAAGGCGCGCCCCTTTGTCAGTCAAAACTGGATTCCTTAGCAACAAAATTAAGGTATGACACCGATAATGACCATGCATCAGAACCCTAGTCTAAACCACTTCAAACTAGGGAACAACGAATAGAAGATTATGAATCACATAGATGAAGACAACTAACTCATTTTTTTCCTTGTTTCAAGATCATCCTCGGTAGACAAAGCCGAGTCTTGTCACTATCAACAAGGCATAAAAAGTAACAAGGACTAAGATGTGTCCCTTGGATTACTGAAAAATCCTGTTCCCCTAGTTTGAAGTAGCAAGGACTAGGAATCGGTGGTAGATCTTACATCCCGTCACGTACCACGAAAAGGTGATCTACCCACGTTACGGGGCAATTTGCTCCATAGTACTCTTGAAAATCATCTGCAGAAAACTAAATGAATTCAATCTGTAATGCTCTTCAAATTATTAATAATGTATGCAGTATTACCTAGGAATTCCTCGGAGATCTCTCTGGAAAATGCACTTGAAATTTTTCTCAGTATTGACTTTGCATTTTCCAGAAATTCCTTTGGAATGTTTCTAGGAATTCATTTTTAGTTCTACTCAGGACTTCCTATAATTCTTTTAAATGCTCCTCAGAATTCCATTGGAGCTCTCCTTTGAAATCTTTAAAAAAAAATATGACCGGAACATGCTTGCAAATCCTTTAAAAAATTGTTGGAATCATTCTCGGAATTCAATTCCCATTAAATTTTCCTCTGAATTACGTTAAAATGCTCCCCAGTAAGAAATCCTTTGGAATTATACTCAGAATTTCCAATGAATTCATTTTAGAGTGCCGTTTGAATTTTACTCCTTCCCTTGGAATTCTACACGGCGAATGAGAGCGACCCAACTTTGAGTTTAGCTCACTCATAATCGCCAAAAGTGCAGGAACTCAGCGATGAGTAAATTTGTCTCATGGTTTCCTGCGGAAAACCTAAAAAATCTGTCGTAAAACAAGGAAATTGACGTAAATTTTATTCAGTCTCGGAGTAGTACCATTAGACTGAGTGAATCCAATCTTTACTTTTCTCAAATTCGGGAATGTTTCCCTGGAAAATCCTGGGAAAACATGAGGCTAATTTACTCATCGCTGAGTTCCTGCACTTTATGTGATTTATGAGTTGACTAAACTCAAATTTGGGTCGTTCTCATTCGCCGTGTACTCATTTTGAAAGTTCCCTAAGAATTCGTTTGCAGTGAAGTAACAAATTCCATAGATTTCTCGTTAAAAATTATTTGGAATTCAAGTCAGAACTTTACTGGAATTCATTTCCGAGTTTTTTTGAAGTTCTCCTGGAATTATTTTCATATTTTATTGAAATCTACCTTTAAGCATGCTCCCGTAGTATTCTCCGAAAATTCCCATGGAATTATGCCCCAGATTATTTTTCTCCCTGAAACTTCTTGCAATTATACTCAAAATTACGTTGAAATTCTTCTTTAAATTTCCTTAGAGTCCTCTTGACAATTCCTTAGGAATTACTTAAGAAATTCCTATGAATTTTCTTTAAAAATCCACTCGAATCTTAATCAAGGTTTACTTGGAAATCTACTTATAACTACCTTGGTATTCAAGTTTCACTTAGGATCTGGAGTTCCTCAAGACTACCTTAAAAGCAGATTGCACAGTTCTTCGCAGAACTTCCTTGGAATGAGTTCCATAGAAATTATCATCAAATTTCATGAGCCGTAAAAAAATGCAAAGTCTTTAATCCTAATGCTTTTCAAATCTCTTGGAATTACCTAGGAAAATACACAATTTCCAACATAATTATTATATGTGTCTTCGTTCCAGGTTCTTGAAAGTTTGTCCAAGTACAAGTATTGTTAAGCCACGAATTTCAATTTTTTTTATCAAATTTAAAATTTGTGAAAAATATCCATATTCCAAAATTCTTAACAAAAAAAACAATTCAACCCTCTGAATTTTTTAAAATTTATTTTGTTACTGAAGATAAATCCGCTCAGGATCTATTAAGTTCAATGAGTGAAAGAAAATAACAAGGAAAGTTAGTTTTTTTGCATAATAAAATGTGCTATATTCTTTATAAAAAATCCTTTGAAAGAGAATTTTAAAATTCCTTGTGTATTGATGAAATTCTCATGAGAATTCCAGGTTTTTCCACGAAAAGTAAAATGCTTGAAATGATTCCCAAAATTACGTTGGAATTACTTAGAGTCCTCTTCAGAAATTCCTATGATTTTTTTTTAATCCATTCGAATCTTAATCAAAGTTTACTTGGCAATCTACTTATAACTACCTTGGTATTCAAGTTTCACTTAGGATCTGGAGTTCCACAAGATTATCTTGAAAGCAGATTGCACTTGATATTTTCCTCGCAGTTCACAATGCACACTGGGCCAGAAATGCAATCTAGCAGAGCAAAATTAATAACTCCGAAACGAAGAATTTCCGCGACTTGGTGTCTTCCGCAAAGTTTCGCATCATAATAAGAACCATCTATTGACATAAACAAATAGTTCAAAACTCTTCCGCAAAGATGGCGCCACAATCTAACTTCTTTCTCTGACGATTTGGAGACTTGATGTCTTCGGCAAAGTTGTTTGCCTTGACTAAATAAACAACTCTTTTGAAGACGTAAAATTTCCACAGCCTACTGATTCGGAGTTATATGGAGTTAAAAAAAAATGTCGAAAATATGCTTTTTTCTTTCTGTTTTGGTTTTTTGCTGACAACCATATAATGTTATATTTTTCTCTTACTCAAATGCATTAAATAAATAACTTTTGTGAAGAAAAATACTGGTTAAAGCTTCAAATTTTAAAGATATTGTTGAAAAACCGAAAAAAACAACAATTTTTGATTTTTAATATCTCCCAAAGCGCAAAAAATCGCAACCTGACATTTTCAGCAAAAATTAAGCAATACTCGATAAACAAAATATAAAAAATTGAGAGAGGTATATTTTGGTGTTTTTGAGATTTCATCTTTCATCATCATTCTTTGCAATGTTCTAGAAAGTTGCAGAACGATCAATTTGCGGCACCTTTGCTGAAGACACCAAACTTCCATCTCTTACGGTTCATGAGTTATGATTTTTTTTAACAAACAAGTTGGGGTGGCTCCTGAAAAATTGGTTTTCTATGAATATCTTTTCGTACGTTCATTTCTCGTAAAACAAATGTTCTAGACACTTTTAGAACTTTCAATGAAAAATATTTTTGCTGAAGCAACTAAGTTACTATGTTTTTTTAATGGAAAGTTAGAGGCGATTTTCTTCAAAAAAAAAACTGTCATTTTTTTAATTGTCAATATCTCTAAAAGGAGCAAACCGATTTTAAAGTTTTTAATTCCATTCAAAAGATCAATATTTTATTCATTTACGGTGATAAAACTGCGAGAGCGATTTGGGACCATTGTGCAGTTCTTCCCAGAACTCCCTTGAAATGAGTTCCATAGAAATTATCATCAAATGTCATGAGCCGTAAAAAATATGCAAAGTCTTTAATCCTAATGCTTTTCAAATCTCTTGGTAAATACCTAGGAAAATACTCAATTTCCAAC